ACAGTAATACTAGGCAGATTCTAATTAATCCGTAGTCTAATCTGGTTAGAAACTTAAGACCTATTGCCTGTTAAAAGAGAAAAGCGCAGGGAATCCCACAAAAGAACAAAAGAAATTAGCAAACCAGAAGGGGATTCGGACTCCTCAATGGTTCTCATGGGCTGCCAAAGTCGATTTGTTTGAGGTAACTTGGCTGTAAAGGTAGTAGACAACGAAATGATGATGATCTCGATTATACTGGCTGCTTCATCAGAACATGTTAAGCATGGCTGCTAATCTTATCCTCCAATGAGGTACCGTTAATAAAATCAACAATAAACCTTGTAAGTTGTAACCCCCTCACCTCTACTAATTGTACAAAGTAGGACTAACTTCCAGTGTCTGAATGTGCTGGATCATCAAGAATCTTGAGAAATGAAACGAGGTCGGCCGCTGTGATGTGTGATGCATACCAGCAATCAGGAACGGAGCTAGAATTTTAGGTGAGGGGCGACGAAATCTTAAAAATTTTTAGAATTATAATAAGTTTATATCAATATAATTTATATTAATTTTTAATTATTAGTTATATAATTTGTTAGTAGAATCATGTATGTTCTTATTTTATGTTTGGGTTGAAGGGAAAGAAGGGAAAAATTTTTCCTTCCATCTCCTCATTTGAATAAATAATTAAATTAAAAAAATAAAGTAAAAAGAAATTTTCTTTTTCTTTTCATTCTTCTCAATTCAAACATATTATTAGTCATAAATCTTGAATTTGATTCATAATTTTTATATATAAAAAAATTATACCAATTTTTATATTAGTTACTAATTTTATGGGTAAATGTACTACTTATAACATATATGCCAAACTTTAAATTAATTAAATATATTTAATTATTTTTGAATAATATACAATTCAATATACTTAAACAAATAATACAAAATAATAGGAAAGATGTTAGTAAGTCAGATCAAGAAAAAATTATGAAAAAATATTTTAAAATTATGTTATTTAATAAACTCTAATTAAAATAAATAGTCTAAATTAGCATATTTTTAGGACAAGAATGAAGAATATATTAGTATTTTTTGTGATATTTTATTAGAACATCCTAATTTTGAAGTATTTTTCACCTTATTTTTGTGCAAGTCTAGTAAAAAAATACTAATCTCATATAAAATATAATTTCTTTTTTGATTTGATTACAAATATTAATGAACTTTTAATTAGAATACAAATATAATTGTTAAATTAATAGAATAAAAATTGTACAAAAAATTATAACTAATATAAAATTTATTTTCATACCCAAATAGAATTATTTATCTTAAGAATTGATTATAAAGAAAGAAATGGTCCCTTTACCTAGCTCCTAAATATATTCTTTAAATTCAAAAAGGTCATCGCAATTCAAACATCAAAAACAAATTTTGTACTAATTAAAAATTAATGTACTAGATTAAACACTTTTCAAAAGCTTGTCCTATGGTAGCTCCGTCCCTGCTAGCAATGAAAGGGCACGTATCAGACGCACTGAGGCAGTTGCTCAGTGTGGCTGTTTCATATTGCTACAAAGGCCAAGTTATCAACCAGTCTCGAGGAATGCCTAGAATTAAAGCGGCAACTTTCCCAGCCACCGTTAAATTCGATTTTCTGGTAAATCATTGATCCGATATGATAATACTGCTAAACATCAGATGGTAAAACAGCAAAATGGAGACTAGTTTTTAAGCCTGAAGAAATGAAATGTTTGGAACATTATCGATGTTAGATTTATAGACTTTGATTTCAATGGAAGCTTTGCAATTTAGGAAATAAACTTATATGTGTTACCCTATAAACAGATAAAAATTACCAAATTAATTACTTTCGATAGACACAGAAGATTTTATTTCCTTATGTAGCAGTGACAATTGAGAAAACACTATTGGGGGCTTTTAATTAATTTATTAGCATATTCGGCAAAAAATTTGTTACCATACATTATAGAGAGAAAAAGAGGAATGCTGACTGCTGAGTGCATTAACATTTGATCAATGATTGTCTAAGTGTTATTTTTTATTTTTGTCAATTTATTTCTTTTAAATAGGACAAACTCAGGCAATCAATGGCTTAAATGTTGGTGCACTCAGCAATCTGCCTAAGGACACCTAATATACTTGAGATCAAAAAAAAAAAAATGTTAATCGTGCTGTTTGCGGTTGCCTAAAACTTAATCTTTTTTGTAATTTGAAAAGAAAGTTTGTATTGTCAATGATCTAAATAATTCAATAATCATCTTCTTTCATTGAAAGTAAAAGATTTTAAATTTAAGCCGCATAACATGCGAATAAAATTACATAATGAATGAAAAATGGTTACTTCTGTTATACAATCAAGATAAAAAGAAAAAAAAAAGTTAAAAAAAAAAAGTTTGTGTTTTGCAAAAATCAACACAATTTTTCAAATTAATATAGACAACGACTAGAGCAAGAACTATATAGACAACAACATTACGAGCTCCCTAAGGATCTCTAAGGTCAAACCAAAAATGCCTGGGTTCTTGTTCGATGCACGTAAATACGTGCCCATAGATGTTTCCCATTGACAGTAAACTTGGCTTTTGCATGCCCATTTAGTACATTCGAAATCACCAAGGACGTAGTGAAAACAACACGTTCAAACTGAGGACCTCTTCCTGGACCAGTCTGTTCCACCACAACATCTTGCCCTACTTTGATCTTCCCAGTTCCTACGAAACAAATTTCAATGCCATTTATGGAAGATGACTAAATTATCAACTGTTAATCATCATTTATTGGGTATCAGCTATGATTTGAAGAGAAAAATAGATGAAAATTAAATGAGATTCTCGACTATTTCTTCCCTAGCTACTTAGAGGGAAACCTTTGGAAAATGTTAGGAACATTTTTCTGGCATCTTTTAAGGTTTGTCCAGGATGGAAATCCTCAGCGTGAGGATTCAAAGTTGATTGCCTGGGTCCTTGGCTAGGCTTGCCAGAAGCCGTGGATCCAAGGGTTCTGACTGGCGGCCTCAGACTTGAGTTATGAACTTCCAAAGGCGCTGTCTCCCCAAATATCTTCTCAGAAACAGTCTGCACCATGTGCTGCAATCGCCTAAAAATGAACTCATGATTGTAGTAAAAGAAGCTGTTTATATACCAACAAGAACATATCGTCGAGTTGATCAAATCATATGATTACCATGATAACTAAGCACTAACTTTTCTTTACCTGTAGTTCATGGGCTCGATGAAAAACTCAAGAAAGGTGGAAAAATCATCAGGGGATTCAACTGGCGGTGCAGCATTGAGAGGAAGGCAGTCGAAGCATTTCAATGTTTCATGGAAGAGTGCATTGACGGTGTGATCGTTGAGGGAACGGATTGTTCTTATTAAGTCATAGTAGCCAATTTCCCCCAGGGTAAGCCAGAGTGCGATGGCTCTCTTGACTTGGTGGGAGGTTTTGCCCATAGAAGATACCATTCTGTCAAAAAGGGTTCTCTCCAGGGAGTAAAACAGGAGGAGGTCAACAAGGGTTCCGACCCTGGCCACTTGGATCAGAGATACTGAGATTTTGGACGGCGGAATGTTGTTTGAGCAAGAAGAAGATCAAGAGGGCATGGAATTTGCCTCTTAGGACATGGAAATGTGACTCTTTGGAAACGAAATTTCTGAATTTTGGTTATTTATTGCACTGGTTGAATCTTTATTGCACTGTTGCTCCTGACAGCATGATGAAAGTCAGTGAATATCTGTCTTTCTGGGTATAGTGTTCTCAATTACCAAAGGACAAACAGGCGAAGAAGAGCAAACCGTCCTAAAAATAGAGAATTACAAAAGAGAGAGAGAGAGAGAGAGGTAACAACAAATAAAATTATTTTGAATCGAAGATCACATGCACAGGAAATCTATTTTTAACAGAATTTTAAATCGTCAAATAAAAAGTTACCACTTAATTTAATTTATGGCCATACATGTGCCTTAGACAAGTGAAGTAAACCTCACTCTCTCTAGTGGTTACCTGTCTCGGTTACTTTATTATTACAGGTAATTAACAACACAAGCAGCCAGTGGGTTAGAGGCTGTTTCACTTCAGAGCCTTGCAGTACGGAGCTGTTGCTTCAGCAATGGACGGATATACTCATGGTAACCATCGGGCACCACAGTGTCATTCAAAGGATCCTTCCATGCTTCCTCGTAGAGTTTCGGGTAGACATTTCCATCATAGCAGCCAAGGATTGACCCCAGGTAGTGATCAGTGTAATTGAATGCATCAACAAGTGTGATTGCATTGGGACGGACCTGACAATGTAATGAAATCAGATCAAATAAGTCTCTTACTGTAAGTATTCAATAACTAGAGTGGCATATTTGATTTGACACAAACCTGAGCATATAAAGATCTGAGCTGTTCATTTGCCAGTGAACCTTGCTTCGGGGTAATGTAACCAGTGGAGAGGAAATCACCGAGATGTTTGTGTATAAGATGCAGAGCATATACACCACAGAGGATCTCTAACTGTCTTTTCACTCCTTTTCCTGGTATGTCTTGTTGCAATTTCTCAATAAACCTGAAACACACAGGTTTCTTAGATGACTTTCACAAGACAAAGGAAGAATAAATAAGGTTATTCTAAACATCTCCAACTTCATTATATCCCATGATCCTTTCACTAAAATTTCCAGGAAATTTTAAATTTAAGTAGGCACATCACACAGAAAGAAAATCAATAGTGTTAAGAGTACTGGTTTGAAGGTTTTACTTTTACAATGAGCCTCTGCCAGGAATCTATAATTTAATCTGATAGAAATGAGTATGGGACTGTTTATATTGGACCGTCGCACCTTCCACATCACAAGGGGAAGAAAAAGGAAGCTGTTTAAGGCCCATAGGCCTGGGGTGGTTCAACCCCCAACAGTCAATATGATATAACAGTAATGGCTCGCTGGATAATTTAGTAGAGTGGCACAACAAGATTAAACCTTGTCAAATGTCACTGTGCTACTAGAACATTTTGATTGGCTTAGGTTCAAGAAGCTTACTTGGAAACAACAATTAACTGACAGTGAGCAACTGCAGCCTCAACTAAATCAGCTGAGAGTTCTGCAAAACCTGAGGGAAAAAATCATGAAAAATACATCAACCTCATGGACTATTATAAGTTCCAAAAACAGCCATAGCCACAAATTTAGATGAATGGCATAACATATGATGGGCATAAACTAGGAATCCACTTATTTACTATAAATAATAAAGTTTGTTTTTTGTTGAAACTGTTAAAAACCTATATCCATAAAGCAGCCATCTAAGCATGGGCCTAGCCACCGCTATACTTGTGGATCAAGCATCATTTCTAGTTTCTATCAAAAAGAAAAATTGGTATAAGATATTTGGTCCTCAATCAAGGTAGAGAAGACATACCATCCTCTGGATTTGAAAACTCGCTAAGGTTTTTAGCACAGGCAACAGACATCCTAGTTGCTCTTGCTTCAAAAGCCTCCAATATTACATTAGGCTTCAGCCAATCTTCAGCTGCATGTCATAACAAGGAAGAAAAATTATTGATTTGGCCATGAATATGCAAAGGAACCTGATATGTAGCCCACGGGCCATCCTAAAGAGTTAGCAATATTTTGGAGGACATCACAGAAGCAAGGATAGATGCATTAAGAAATCAAAAGGAGACCCAACCCATAGATCAAAATTGAGTAACGTTAAAACTCTAAATATGGCAGCAACACCCCCCCAACCCACCTTCCAAAACAGGACTTTTAACTTTTAAGCACATTCAAGGGCGATACAACATATAATTATGAGATGTATTACCCCTCTGAACATCACAGCGACATTGCAGAAGGTGTTCTGCACGTCCCATATAAGCCGTTGTTCTGACAGGCTTCTTTCCAGATGGAAGCTGAGAAACAGTCTTCACAAGAAACCTTGCAACCTGCAGGAGAGTTTCGTGATAGTTCATTAACACTTCAAAGAATAAAAAACCCAAACTCAGGTAGGCTGATGTGACAGTGGATGCAGCAAATTGGCTAATCCCAGTGGTAGTGCAAGGAATAAAAACAGAGAGCTCCGCCAGTGTGTTCATCCCAGTTCATTCTCATTCCTGAGTTATGACCATAAATATTGAAAATAAAACTGAAAATATTTCATATTTCTTGTACCTGTAGAAGTAGCACAATGTTGTCCCCCTCATAAGTACAAGCAGGGATGTAAACTGCAAATAACTCAGGAAGCCCACTGCAATGCAAGTAACCATGGCCACCACATAATTTTCGACATTCTTCAATACCATCCTGAAACCACAGAAATCAGTAAACTAGATAAGTAATGAAACATATCCAGATCACTAAAGATGAAAAATAAAAAGTGTCAGCAAACACTTCTCAAAAGATACAATGCCATAAGTCATAACTATAATGTCATATAGCAATACATCAAAATGAATCAAACTATGGGAATCCTAGTAACTGTTGCTCCAGGGGAAAGAGAGAGAGAGAGATAGTTTTGGAAATTTGTAATAGTCACATACAGCAGTTGCAGCGGTGGTAATAGACTTCAACCCCGCGGTACACGCGTGAACCTCAGGCAATGTCGAGAAATCATTTGCTTGCAATCTTTGAGTTACATCCGTATATAGCCATTTCAGCCATTCACCAACAAATCTAAAAGCATAGGCAGAAGCCAGCAAAGGAAAAAGCCTACTTTGCTGAGTTTTGTAGTCAATCACCTGGGAGAAAAAGAAAAGGAAAAGAAAAGAGGACAAAAGCATTAGACATATTACCTTCAAAAGAAAACTTATGTCAAATATTCAGAAACAGCATACCATAGACTTTACAACACAATTATATGAAAATTTTTACAGAAATGAGGGGGTGGAGGGAATTATATGGCTGCCTAGAACCAACATCAGTTGTCAAGAAGGTTAGCTGTAAATTCATAAGAACCAATTATGAATTGAATCTTTCTATTGTTGCATATCTTTTGGCAATATTCTCACTTGGTACATCTAGAAATTTTGATCTAACGAGATCTTGCTGAAAGCAAATTTTCTCTGAAATTACATTAACATGAGCCATATATAAAATTTAAATCATACATGATAAACCACTGGCAGGTTGTCTTGCAAACAAGTTACTCCCTCCATCCCATAATAATAGTCCCTTTTTGACTGAAACTTTCTACCAAATTAACAATGGTTTTTTCAGTTATTAGGGAGGACATATTTTTTTTCCGCTTTACCCCTATTATTATCCCTTAAGATTAATTTTCCACCTTTATCACCAAAAGCTTCACTTAATTCTTGTCTCTTCCTTAAGGTTAATATAGGCAAAAACTAAAATTGTTTACAAATTCTTAATCCGTGGAAAAAGTTAAAAAATGAATATTATTATGAGATAGAGGGAGTGAATGGCAGTATGAATAACTAAATAATAAAAAATATATCTGTAGGACAGATACCTGGGTCTCTAGACCATTCTGAGAACCAAATTGTCTACGGGCACAACTGTATCTAGTAGCTATGCAAACTGCCCGTGATAAAGCAGAAGAAGCATCAGCAACAATTGTTTGTCGAACAAACACCATAGTGCCATAAATCAGCTGCCAAGGAACATTAGATTGTACATATTTTCCTTCTCTTGTAACCTGTGAGACCCTGAGTCATTTGGAACAAACTTCAGAACATTCATCTGACTTATCCAAGAACATATTACTATAGAAGACTGAAACTTCACATCAGCTTACAGCCTTGTCTCCATTTCTTTTTTGATTGGTACAAAACTTCACCTTTTTTAGGATTGTTGGTGTTCTAATTTTACAATTTATTAAAGACTTGACTAGAGCTGATAGGCATAAAATCCCCTGGAACTTGAATATTTCCACTAAAGGCAACAGCTCATGACAGGGAGCATCCATGACAAAGATTTATTTAGAATCAATTTAACAGCATGGAGACATTTCAAGCTAACATTTATAAAGTTTAAATTATGTTCCCTAAAAACAGGAAGCGACACTGCAAGCAATAAGCATCAGAAACAGAAAAGATGCAATGACACAGGCCAAAAAATCGTAAAAAAGAGCAGGGCCAGAGAACAAACTGCATCAACATTTGATTTCTTGGGATGCGCACATGATCAAATCTCAAAACACCATTGTCCACGGTGTTAAATGCCCCACTTCCAAATTTCATCCCAATATCACCAACTGTAATGCCTGGAAGAGGAGAGTGGTCATCCAAGCTCCGCAGCTGGACAATGAATCCTGTACAATGGAACTTATGCATAAATAAATGAAATACAAATCTATGCCAGGATTTGAGACAATGGATTGGAACATACCATGTATTCCATGGTCTTCACCATCTGTTATGAGACGAGCATAAACAACGGCATGTGTAGAAACTTTACCCAATCCACCAGGCCACCACTATGAAAAGACAAGAACCGAAGTTAGACTGCTCATTCAAAGGGAATGTAATGATCAATTTAAATTAAACGCAGAGATGAAGTCTGAAGTCTGTACACTAGCTATAACAGAAGTGTGATACAGTATTTTGCTAAACCTTCGCTGAACTTCACTCACGGATAACGAAATACAATATATATA